TGACCAATCACAGTCGATTATTCTTCTCACATTCGACTGTGATTGGTCAATTTCTTACTCTTACTTCTTACTCCGTGTATTGTAGACGACGCCTCAAAGCATAACCCAATCAGCGCGAAGAAAACTTCCAGTTGCAAAATAAACGTTCTGCTGAACGCAGCTATTATTTATAGCCGGTATTTTGCTAATTGTTTACGTTGCTTGCACTTTTGGCACTCGACTTCTTCGCTTTTCTCTTTTTAAAGTAAAATATGTATCTATTTCATTTTAAGTGCAATAATATTTGGGGATTTCATGCAACGCAAACAGGGGGTCTATTCTTGAAACGAAACGTATACGAAAGTCTAGGGAAATACTATAGTATACGTAACGTATACTGTAGCATTTCCCTAGACTTTCGTATACGTTTCGTTTCAAGAATAGAGCCCCAGAGCTAATGTTATAAAATGCAATTAAAACGAACAGACTTGTTGACAACCTGCCGATTGGTATACCTGCCAAATGCGGAAGGTGTTTTAGGTTGGCAATCCTGTCATCAATTTCGCCATTTTCCGTTGTTTTGCGTCTTACGCGGTGACGACTTTGTGATGTGGTCTGAAAGTTCGCAATTTTTGTAGTGGGTTGGAAATCAAAATAGGAAATCAGAGAAAAAGAAAAAAGTTGACAATTTTAGCTTTGAGAGCAATTGTGCAATGCAGATTTATGCGATATCACGTTATCCGTCACCTAGTACGTTCTGTGTAGTAACTGAATACGGCAGACATTTAAGTTTTTAATGATTAGTTACTCATTAATTTGCAGTTTCAACAGTCACATAACGTTTCCCGTCTCATAATCAAGGTAAGTTTACAAACATATGTTACATCACAAAATCTACATCGAGAGTAACTTCTATAATTTCTCTATATTTTTGATATTTTTTTTATTGATGTCTAATAAATCTACATATTAAATATATTTCTAGATGCGCAAAAATCAAAGCACGAAGGCTCCAGCTGCAGCCTCCCAGCGTATTACTCGTCTGAAATCTCGTGAAATATCTGCCAAGCCTGCACCTGAAATAAAGCTCAAACCCGAAAGAAAAGTTGTCATTATCAATAAAAAATTAAAGAAGGTCAATGTTAGTGCAAAAAACAAAACTTTGCACCTATCAAAGGGAAGTGTGTCTCTAAGAAACAATCGAACACCAGTGAGACGTTTACGTCCTCGTCAAACTAGAAAAAATTATTGTGAAGACTCAAGATTACTGCAGCAATTTATTTCACCAAAGCAACAGGACAGTATGGTGATAGTGGAAAAACTGAAAGAAAGTGTAGAAGGTAAAAAAGTACCTGTATACAAAGCTATAGAACCTGAGAAATTCTCAGAAGACAAAAAGGATGTATATGATTTTAAGTTTGATTCAAACGACACTAAAGAAAAAGCTCCTAAAAAGAAACTGGGGAAAAGAAATATTAACAAAGAGAAAGGCAAAATGACCAAAAGAACAACACGTAAGAAAGTTACTGCAAAAACAAGTAGTCATAAGATAATTGAATCTTCTAAGATTGATGCAGATCCTTCTGTGGTGATTATACAGAATGATTCTCCTTTAGAATTTGTAGTGGCTACAACATCAACAAAGGAAAATAACGTGAAGAAAATTGAAACAAATAAAGATATTCGGACACTGAAAAAATTAGTAAACAAGAATATTGAAAAAGAAGTTGAACTACCAAGAATAGATGCAGATAATCGGACAATAGAAGTACTGGATGATACTAGAGACCACATAGAAGCACCAAGAATAGACATAAATATTCAAGAAGCAACAACTTTTTCTGGCACATTTACAGAGCAAGTTAGAAAGGAAAATACAAGCAAGCCAAGAATTATATCTATTGAAAATGCAAATAATATTATAGTCACTACATCCCCACCTAAGAAAACTGACGTGCAGCCCTTTCGGTCCAAGAATATATTTGATAATAAAACCTTATCAAAGGGACACGACAGCACATTAAGATCTACCGTATTGATGAAAACTTTATCCCCTATCCTAAAGACAACAAGCACTTTCGATTTTGGAAGTCCCTGGCGACCTCCAACATTATCGTTCTCTAAAACTAAACACTTTATACAAAGTACACCATATAAGGACTTTGAAACAAAGAAAGGAAATAAAGAAATAAAGAAAAAGATCATGGAAACAAGTAAGGAGATCATGGAACCGAATAAGGAGAATATAAAACCAAATAAGGAGAATATAGAACCAAATAAGGAAAATATGGAACCAAATAAGGAGAATATGGAACTAAATAAAGAAAACATGGAACTAAATAAGGAGAACATGGAAATAGATAAAGAAAATGTAGATATGAATAAAAAAAATATAGGCCGAAGAGACAAAGAAAGAAGAAAGAAATCTGTCAGTCCTCGCAAAAAGCGCGCAATTCAGAAGAAACTTCCAATTTCAGAGAATCAGACTCCACAGAAACTTCGAGCAACAGTTGCACAGAAGTCTGTACAACCAGCACCTGCCAGAATATCCTTGGGGGAAATAAAGAATGTGTTATTAAGACCTAATAATAATGTTAATGGAGATAACAAACAAACAGTAGAGCCAATGCATACTGAAGTTAATAAGTCGCTCATAGAGCAAAAGAAACAACTTGTAGATGTTGTCAATTTTTCCGACACATTTGATATGTTGTCTGAAAGTGAAAAAATATCAAATGTTGGAAATGACATTCCTCTGTTTATGGATTTAGAACCTTCACATTTTTCAAAGGTATTTATTAATATTCTCTTTTCAAAAATAAGTAGCCAAAACGTGGCTTACTAATAATAAACAAAAATTAAAACAGCAAAACAACCACATGAAGGATGTTCATCACAAAAGTTAATATTTAAGATATTACTTGTTAACGATATAAAAACATAAACGTTTCAGCCATGATTTAGCCATCTCCAAATGTTTATATTTTTATATTGTTAATAAGTAATATCTTAAATATATGATTTTTTCGACGAACATCCTGATTTTATATATATATAATATTTTTTATAAATAACTATATTTCTCTAAAATGTTATAGCCACCCCAACATTCATATAGGAGAAAACGTGCCGTGAAGTTCGATTTTTCAGAAGATAACAATGAAGAAGAAGAAAATGAAAATGTCAAATTACAACCAAAGAAGAAGAAACCTACAAAATTAGAAAAAGAGCACAAGAAAAAAATTAACGAATGGGTAAAAACAGTTAACAGTACATTCCAGGAAATCGAAGAATATGACTTGCTAATTGAATAACATAGAAAATGGATTGTTACTTATACTTCAAAATTCTAAAAGACCTGAAAAAGTTCAAAGCTGTACAAATTACGGGTTTAAACTTTTCTTATTTTTTAATTTATGTTTGAAACTTTATGGTAACGATATTCAAACGCACATTTCTCCTTTATATCCTTTTATTTCGATATTTTCTTTATATATAGAATTATATCCACAATAGATGAGATAGTGATTAGAATGTTAGAACTATTAATACAGATAGTAAGTTTTATCTTATACTTTTCAAATCCTATTAAAATTTTGTAAAAAAACTTTATCTTCTAAATATTTTAATATTTTTTTATATGTATTTTTTTATGTTTACGTGAAATGTAAGGCAAATTTTATGAATATACTAATAGAAATTAAGATTGCGTTTATTCAAGACATCACAATTATGCATGAGATAAGGATATAGGAAAGCTGTATATATTCGAAGATATTTAAGATGATATAGAGATCAACATGTTATGAGTAGTACATTGTATATAATAAAATATTTTTTAAATTTATTTGCCTTATATTAATTTCTAAACTTGAATGATATATCAGAGATTGTCATCAATTGTTATAATCAGATATTCACGTAGAATAATTTTTCACTTTTTATTAGTTACTGTTTATAAAACTATTTGAATATAAAATAATATTTTTATTTTCAAATAAAATTTCGATAGACTCAAGATTAAAATACTAAAGTAATTGAGGAATAATAACGATCACTTTAGCCAAATTCTGATTAACTTAATCGATTTCAATTATAAATATTGTAGATGATATATATATATATATATATATATATACACACACATATATATATATATATACTTATTAAATAATATCTATATTAGGTATGATTCCGCCAATATAAGATTAACTTTAGAATTAGAAAAAGATAAACAATAAGGTAAATCGAGATTAAAATTAATCTACATTGGTGGAACCGGGTCCATTTCTACCAATGTAGATTTACTTTAATCTCGGTTTAATTTAATTTTCATCCTTTTCTAATTCTTAGAACCAAAAAAGGTAAATTAAAGATTGATCTACATTAGTAGAAATGGGGAAAAATTTACATGAAAGTAAGATCTAGTTATCATATTTAGCACTCCTTATTTGATTTATATAATTTTTGATATCGATAGAATTATTTAGTTT